GTGGAAGGGTGCCATCAATAGAAGAAGTCTTGGTCTGGTGTCTTTTGCAGCGGATTACTTGTCTGATAAAAATATGCACTACAGTCTTTGCCCTGCTTGTTGACAAAACTTGACAGACTCTTTAGATCCAGGTTCAAATCCAAGCAACAGCTTCGATTTAGGCTTGTGATTGAAGGTTTAAGTGGACCTGAATACCTGGAGGTGTCATCTCTGACCATAAGATTGACGTGTAGTGACTGTCCAGCCCTCATGGACGCCAGCTACGTTCCACATTGTGCCATACCCAGGCCAGTCCATGTCTTAATGTTGTATATCCATGTTACTCTTTGTCTACCCTTGGCTCTGCTGCCCTACATCTTTCCTTAAAGCCCATCTTTAACAATAGCCTGGTGTATTGTACTTTTCCTCTTTTCCTTTTGTTAAGCAGGGTTTGTCTTGTGTGGAGAATCTGACACATCTCTTTGTTAGTATGTTTTGCTTTCCAGCTAATTCTGGTCTTTACTTCTGCAGTCATTAGTGGACCAAAGTTGGCTTAATCGATGAGTAGTGATTGTAACCTCATTGAACAGGTAACCAAAAACATGGAAGATAGCCAGTATGTATGTTGTGGGCGTATGACGTCACACTACGTACAGCATGTCCATCAGGAAGAGGTCACGTATTTGCTATCGGTTAAGTTGGAGAAAAGAGGTGTACGTAAACAGGATAACGGCGATTTAACTGAAAGGGGAACAGCAAGATAGACATATATAAACAAGAGAGGGAGAGTAAAGAAATACAACACCATGAAAGTGTGGTACGTACCAACGGAAAGAAATAACCAATACACACGTGGTAGAAAGAAACATATTATTATGTTTAATTTAGAATAAAACAAAATGATAAACAAGCAAACCTTTTCCAAACATAAATCTTTGCCATCAAAGTAAACGACTAATGTAGCTATTGCCTATTATAACTATATTCAATTTTGTTCAGCCTGTGCCAATGGCATTGTTATTTCTATATATTATATTTGTGAAGATTCGTCGCTTTGGCCGACTAAAACTTCGGAACCACATAACTTTCGAATTTGTTTGTTTGCTTAGTATAGGGTTTTACGGCGCTCGCAACTGCATAAGGTCATATGAGCGCGCGGGACACACCTAATACTTTTTCGGTGGTAGAAAATTTTGAATTTTGCCCGTGTGGCGGCCGCAGCCTACTCTTATCGATTTTAGACCACCAAGGGATCTTTAACGTGCGCAACTTGCACACGGGCCCTCCGAGATTTTTCGCCCTTGTCCGAGAAGGCTAGGTGTAGATCTTTCCTACCAGAAGATCAGGGGTGTGGCAGAAAGACAGCAGTTAGGAGGAGCCAAGGAGTAGCAGTAGAAAGGCTGCAGAAAGAGTCAGGAGCCCAGAGGAGGGGGCAAAGGAGGTGAGGGGGTGGGGGCAGAAAGTGGAAATGAAAGCAGACAACAGAACATTGTTAGAGATCAGGAAAGGATGTGAAAGGAGACAATTTTAGAGAAGAAAATTTTTTGGTCGCTACCCGGAATCGAACCCGGGACCTTTGAATGAGAGGCCAACACCTTAACCTCTAGGCCACGAGAGCCCCCCTTTCGAATTTGAAAAAATAACGATGGTTCAAAATCATTTAAAAGGTGCACAGTTTTACTGAGGAGTTTGAAGTCACTGTTGTTTAATTTTCATTTTTTCATTAGTTTTTATCCCACAAAGACTTGACGATCAATTTTTTTAATCTGTTCATCGAACGGGGTACCAAGCTAGTCTGATATATTTGACAACTCACAGAAATCTGAAGAAAATATTTTTAAAATCCACCTATTTAATTTTTGTCTCTCTGGCTTCCTTGTGATTTTATGATCTTATACTAGTTTACTTTTGAATTCCGAGTGTCGGGTTGTCTTGTGGACATTTATGTCCATTTCCTTTCCGTTCTCTTCTTCGAGGTATCTTGGAGCATAATATTGGTACTACTCGTACATGTTCAGTAATACTTACTTAAGAATGAAAGATAAGATGCAAACAAAACGAGACAATGTATTCAATAACACTTACCTTAGACAAGATACGATAAAAAAAAAGAATTTATAATGTGTGCAGGTCTGGTGTTAAGCTTGCTGCAGATGCCTCTCGATCTCTTGTCCCAATGTTGGACATAATATGTGGCAACCGTATCGCGCTTGCCTAGGGTCGTGGGTGTGGTGGCATGCATCTTTCCCTACAGTCCATCTTTGTGTTAAAATTGTTAGCGTTACCGCCGCACCCAGTGTAGAAGAAAGACTTGCACTCACCGTCCTGGGAATCGTAATAGAACTTGGTAAAAGTACCTCTGCAAATACCCCTCTTTTTGGAGAGGAGGCAGTCGGGGCTGCGATCGTTGGGTCCATCATTTTGGCGGATGAGTTGGGTGCAGCTTCGGTCACATTCCTCCCTTGTCTGGAAGTTGTTCAGGTTCCCATTACAACCGTTATAGGTAAATATCTCGCACCGCTGTGTGGCAGCATTGTAGGAGTAACGTTTGGATGTTCCTTGCTTCTGTTTGAGGAAGCAGCGTGCCGTGACACACACCTCGCCGCACTCATCCTCGTATGTGAAACGATTCACGTTTGAGTTACAGGCAAGACGCTTGGCTCTAGTGCATATGCCCTGTCCGATGTCGTAGTATACAGGTCTGGCACATTTCCGAAGCCGCAGTTTTATATCGGTTCCCTGAGTGCATATGCACGCTGCTTGACACTCAGACTCCGTTCGGAAGTTGTTCTTGTTACCGCCTTCACCCCCATAAGTAAATAGCTCACATGACTGGCTGTCTTGGTTGAAGTAGTAATGAGCGTGAGCGCCATCGCCATTTCCGCGATCGCGTTGATTACAGTCTGGGGGGAAGAGAGAATAGAAGATTGTTTATTGGCTTAACGCTTTGAGGGCGAGGCTGACACATAATAATTCTTTCCGATCAGCAGCATGCCTGAGGCAATGGAATGTTGCCACATATTTGGAATACCATATAATACATTTCAGAAGCAAATCGTAGCTCATTTATAGCATGCCCGTTGTTTGATCTCCAAGTCAACCCTCTCATGGATCATGGAGAGGATGGAGGAACAGCTATGGCGTTGTACCGCCTGCTATGATGCCTATTATTCAACTAAGACTTTAAAAAAATATAACTTGCACGTTCTTACCTTTCCTTTCAAGTTTGAAATAAAGCAAACAGAGTGGAAATATATGTACGAATGAGGAAGTTTTGCTTGTTTTATAAAGTGCACCAATAGGCTGATGACCAGGGAGCACCACGGAGGAGCTGTCGGGATGCCATCTTGCCGACACCGAGGGGGGGGGGGGGCAACAATCGTGATATCTTTGGTTTATGGCTACCAGCCTTTTCTACTGGGTTAACGCTAGCCTACAGTATTTCAGCCGAACAAAAAACTTTTTAAGCCTTATTTTTAAGCAATATGGTTAGGTTCAGCATTTAGTTTAAGTTTGGGGTTCGGATTAGTGTTTCAGGCTTATTAGAATTACATGCACTTTTTTTTAATACATCACTCGGTTTGCGGACATTTAGACTCACAAAATTATATTAATATATTATTACATTTATTTTCCATTTTCGTCGCATCTACTCTTGCTGGCTTCTTTGAAATAGTCAAAGATCAAAGAAATGAGATCAAAGCAGCCGTACCGACCGCCACACTCGGATGTTGTATGTTTTTGTTAAGCTATTAATACGATTTGGTCATGTATCACCATACAATATATTGATTTTTTAAAATAGCAATTGCCATTATGTTCTATTGACGAAAATGAAACATCAAAATTTTGAAAATCATCCAGAATACATCAATATTAATAATTGAACGCTGTTCCAATCGTACGGTAACGTAGATTTTTTTTAAATCTAAGAACTTTTCAACACTTGATAAAGTTATACTAACAAACTATGTATAAATAATATAGCAACAGCTGCTACCAAACACAGCTACATGAAACGTGAAACAACAATTATGTGTGACGTTATACTGGTAAGCTACGTGTAACTTTGTAATAACAAGCTATGTGTAACTTTGTAATAACACGTACCTTTGTAACAGGCTACGTGTAACTTTGTAATA